GTCGAAGGATTGGCTCTGGTTCCTGGCCAGCATTCTGGCGAACCCCTGCGAGTTCTTCAGGGTCCACTTGCGCTCCCCGTGGCTGTGCAGGTCGAGGTGCACTGGGTACGGATACAGCGAGTTGTTGTTCCACGTAGGGGGAAGGTACAGCTGGTACGCCATGCCACCGATGGAGGTCATGAGACGGCGGGCGCCCAGACCCGCCTCGGGGAACGTGATGGGGTCCGGCTCCTTCCACTCCGACTGAGTGGAGAAGTTCCAAGCGACAGAGCACGCATCCGCCACGGACATGGGCGGGCCCAGCCTCGTCTCGCTCCACTGCGTGATCCTGGCTGTGCCCGGGATCTCATCGCTGCGCGCCACGAGGGAGGCCGCGCCGTTCACCAGCGCTGCCGAGACGACCGCGCGTCCAAACCCCATGGCTGGGACGGAGGGGCGAGCTACGTGTTGGGAAGCAACTCCTGGGAGGTCTTCGCAAGAACGACCAAGGGCATTAAAACCCGATTGCAAACCATCATGCCGGATCAGCCCTGAATAAGCCCAACACTGAGCTGGAGGTAACAGCATCAAACTGGATTAAGCGGGACTGTGTCGGATAGGCCAGCTTTCTAGAAGAAGGACACACGCCATAAACATACACTTTTGGCGCTCCTCGCGGATTTCTTGGATCCACGCTGGACCCCCCTCCCTGGCGCGCGGAGCGAACCATGGGCGGCGCCGAAGGCGCCGCGAGGGGGGCCCAGCGCGGATCCAGGACATGCGCGCGGAGCGCCAAGGGATGTCTATGGCGTTTTTTCTTATTCGATTTTCGACCACGGATCTACATACCAACGCCGCTGCTGAATTTTACCTCCGAGGAGGTGCACCCGAATATACGTGTACGAGAAAAACTTGTGTGTCAAGTAAGGCGCGCAACTCTGTGGACAGCCTGAGCCCCCAACGGCTGCAGTCTGAATTAATACCGACTGGTGCCGATACGCATCTATACAGGAAGCAACAGATGTGCTTCCGGCTGTCCGTGTCGAGCTTCCACCAACAAAAACAAATCCGCCAACATTTCGGCGTGTGGAGGAGGCTGTCGTCGTCAGGCCCAGTGACACGTAGGAATAAGGAAAAAGTACCGTCCTTAGAAGAGCCGGAAGGACCACCCTTCCCCTTATTTGACCGACCGTCCCAGCATTCCTACAGGCCTACATAGAAATGCTCTCGGCACCGAACAATGGTCTAAGAACGAGAACAATGCTCTTAGAACATAAACCCGATGTACTAAAACATGCCAGTCTCAGCCAGAAATGTTCTCAGAACCTCTCGCGCAAGCCACAACAGGTTTTTAACACATTCTTTGGTGGGCCTACAGGAAAAACCAAGACGCTTCGCCACTGCTTGATGGATCTCTGCCCTGCCCAGGGGGGGGGGGCCCGGTCAGAGTGCCGCTCCCCCGGGGGCCCCGCCAGGTCTCCGGGGGGAGGGGGTCGCAGGCGGGGGTCCCGGGGGAGGTCCCACTGTCAGAGTCGGCGGCACCGGCCGCGGGGCCTTCGCAATATAGATCTGTGTGCAGTCCATGTGTGTATATGTAAGTATGTATGTGTGTATGTATGTATATATAAATATGTGTGTATGTGTATGTATGTATATATAAATGTATGTGTGTATGTTTGTGTATATATGTACATAACCATTCACACAAAAAAAAAACTATATTGGCGCTTCGCGCCATGCACCGTGGTCCTTGAAGTCTGGCATGCAGGCGGAAGGGCAGGAAGGCCAAACAGAACAGTTCAAGGTCTTCGTGGTGCCTTTTCTAGCATCGTCGTTCTAATAATGTTTTCGTCATCCTTCGCTCATGCTTCCTCGTTTTCTTCTTCCTTATTCTTGCCCTACTCTACGATGCCTTCCCCATCCTCCCGAGCTCTTTTTGCGGAGACTCCTCCTTGGAGAGCCTCTTGGCGGCCTCAAGAAAATTATCATGGGCTTCTGGGGGCCTTCTGGAGGCCTTCTGGGCGCCTTCTGGGGGCCTCTGGGGGCTTCCCCGGGCCACCCTGCTTCCAACCGCAATCTCCTCCCAGGTCACGATTTGGAATGCCTCGGGGGGCGTCTTGAGGCCATATTGGACCGTCATGGGGCTCTCCCTGGGCCATCTTGGAGCCCAATTGGGCCGTCTTGGGGCTCTTGGACTGCCTGGACGCCATTTGGGGTAATTGTGGGGCGATATTCGGGCCTCCTGGACGGTCTCGGACGCCCGGCCCAAAGAACAAAGCATTTCTAAGATCAAACAGAAACCTTTGGAAATCCATGATTTCGCGTTTCGAGAGCCTCTTGAGGGTCTTCTTTGGGTCGGCGGCGGCGGCGTCGACGACGACGACCGACGAGGTTAATGATGGTGGCGGCGGCGGCCGCGGCGGCAAGATTGAAAATCACACCAACGCGCTTGCAACGGCTTTTGCGTGTCGAACACTTACCTCAACCGTGTTGTTCCTTGCCTCCCTCGTCCTTCTTCGTGGTCGTCGTCGTCATCCTCCTCCTCGTCCTCCCCCTCCTCCTCCTCCTCCTCCCCTCCTCCTCCTCCTCCTCCTGCTCGTCCTGCTCCTCCCTCTCTCGCGAACATCACATTCACCCGCGAACGCCGGGGAACGTGCCCGCGAGCACCACAACACCTGCGAGCACCGCGCGCATAAACAGCAGCACGCCGGGCCCTGCCATAAGCGCAAAATAGCAAGCCGCGCAACGCGTGCTCGAGCACCGCCAATCAGCCTGTAAATGCCACAGCGACACGTGAGAACCGCAACACACCTGCAAACAACACAAGATGCCTCCGTGCACCTGCATGTCGGGGGGGGGTCCAAGTCCCCCCCCCACGGTACGAGTGTTACCGTTACCTGGGGAGGACGGGGTTGGCGCGGGTAATGTTAGGTCGGACATGTCCCCCTACAGGCAGATTTTAATGGAAACATCACATATATTCAAACAAATTAGGAAAATGTCACAACAAGAATCGTCCTCAGACTATTTGTTATACGAATTCTGAACGCTCCTCCTGTAGAGGGACAGGCCCTGCCAGAGGGCTAACAAAAAAACGCCACATCGGTGTAGATCAGCGTGGCGAGCCCAGGGGGGAATGTGCCGAGGGGGCGGGCCTTCTCAGAAGGCTCGGAAGGCTCTTACAGGCCTTCTTCGGAGACAGGGACGGCTTGCTTATCAGAGGGCGGACGGCTTCTGAGAAGCCCCGCTGCCTTCTGAGAATGTCGCTTTGGGCCTCCGCTGTATTCCTCCCCCCCGGCCGCGCCGCCGATGCACAGGTCTGAGGCCCAGGCGGCTGAGCCTGACCCAAGCCAAAGAGCTGGCGCTTTGGTGGCATCGCCGGCGTAAGCCGACACCTGGCTCCTCAGGTCTCCGCCGTCGCGTTCTATCACGCCGTGCACCCGAGAGACCTGTCGGCCCCATCCACAGTACTGGCTTCACCTCGTCGCGGATCATCCTTGACGATCCCTCTTGGCCCGAAGGCGACCCCAGGAGGCCGAATCCTGTGGGGATCAGCCCCACCCCCGATTGACTTCGGAGGTGGACAAGCCTCCCTTGAGTAAACCTCCCCTTAGTGAAAACGCCATGGGGCCGAAACCAACGGACCTGAACCCGCGAAAATGACGGCCGCGACGCCCTCTCGCGAACCGAAAACGGCCAATTCCTGAATTGACGTGTCAGGGCAGAAGGTCTATCCACCTCCGACTGCCTGAGTGGCCACTTCGTGCCCAAAATGCACCACGGCAACTCCCACCAGCCCTTCGCGCTCGAGCGAGGCACGCGAGGCAAGGGAGCGGCCCTCCCGCTCGCTCCGGGGCCGCGCCCGGCCCGCTCCGCGCCTCCGGGGAGCGCCGCCCCATCCCCGCGGAAAGCTCCGGCAGTGCGTGTGGGCGTTCTTCTGCGCGCGGTGTTACTCGACCTGCTGCGCCTCGTCGCTGCGCGCGAGGCCGCGACCGCCCAAAGTGTGCGTGCGTACTTGCGTGCGTGCGCGCGCGTGTTTGTGTGTGTGTGTGTGTGTGTGTGTGCGTGTGTGTGTGTGTGTGTGTGTGTGTGTGTGTCCGTTTGCTTTCTCCGACTGGCCTCGGCTGAGGCCAGAAAGCCTCCGATGCCCCGAATGGGGGAGGGGGGGTGGAGGCCGCGCAGACGGGGTCCGAGCACGTGGGGTCGCAGTCGAACCGCGCGCCTCGCCGAAGCATCGGCGACGTCGGCAAGGAGACAAAATCGTGCTCCTCGTCGGGCCGCATTGCTGATGCAGTCCACCGAGCCCCTCCCACTGAAGGGGCCCTGGGACACACAAATAAAAGGATTCACCATATGTTCCAATATTTTCTAGGGTTTTGTCTTCACCCTCACTTCCCATATGTTCCATCTTTTCTAGGGAATCGACGATTAATTGTGTCTGTGTGTGTTTTTCCCCTCCTGACCCACGTGGGCGGCCTGGAGGAGGGCGAGGGCTGCGACCGCGCAGGGGGAGGGGGGGGGGACCGCGACGGCAGAGGGGAGGGAGGGGCGGAACGAGGAGGCGCAGGGCGAGGAGGCGCGGTGCTGCTGCTGCACGCCGGGCGCGACGACACACACCAAGGGGCCCTCTCAGCAGGTCCTGGAGGATTCCGAGAAGGCTCCTTGGAGCCAGGAGGGTCTCTTGGGGACAACCTGCCTTCTTAGGAGCTCCCCAAAAGCGCTTGTCGCAACGACGCGTTATGTTTCAAGCCCGGCGATCAGCGTTGTGCAAGGAAGCTCCAGAGCTGGCGGCGCACACCAACGGGGTGCCCCGAGGGGGGCGGCCTTTCAAGAAGGCGGAGGGCGTCTTGGGAACCACCTGCCTTCTTAGGAGCCCCCCCCCCGCCTTCTCAAAAGGCCGCCCCGCTCGCGCCACGCCGCTGGCGCGCTCCGCACAGAAAGAGGAGCAGGAGTCGAGGGGGCACAGGTGTCGCTGGCTGCTGGTGGAGGTGCGCGCGGCGCGCGAGGCGGGACGCGGCTGCTCACGACATGACGATGAAGGGGTACTCGCCCAGGCCCCACGCGGTGCGGCCGCCAGTGCTCTTGTACTGGTAGGCCCAGCCCCAGGTGTTGGAGCAGCGGTAGGCGATGTCTCCGCTGTGCCCGTCGGTGGAGAGGAACCCTGGGTCGGCGGCCGCCGGCGCCGACACGAACCGCGTGTACTTGGTCACCCCGGACGCGCGTCCGTTCAAGGCGACCACTAGGGCGTCGATACCAGCGATGCCAGAATGCGACGCGTCGCCGGTGACGTAAACGGGCATCCCGTCCAGGCCAGTCGTGTACGTCGCAGTCGGCGCGTCGGTGACGATCACGGCGGAGACAAGCTCCGGGTAGGTGGTCGCAAACGACAGTGCGCCAACGCCACCCTCAGAGGTGCCACTCACGATGACCTTCTCCGCGTCGCCGTTGAAGTACTCGATGACGTACTTCGTGATGTCCTTGGCCTTGAGCAGACAATCGGCGGTCCATCCTGGGGTCGCGCTTCCCGTCCAACACTGGGGCATGACGACTACGCCAGGGAACGTGTCGGCAAACGTGCAGTCGGCCATGGGGCACCCCGTATCCTCTGTCGCACCTGCCGAGTAGTACGGCGAGGAGGCTGTCTCGGTGTACGCCGTAGAATACGACCCGTCGAGGCACCAGCAGGAGCGGTTGTCGAAGGATTGGCTCTGGTTCCTGGCCAGCATTCTGGCGAACCCCTGCGAGTTCTTCAGGGTCCACTTGCGCTCCCCGTGGCTGTGCAGGTCGAGGTGCACTGGGTACGGATACAGCGAGTTGTTGTTCCACGTAGGGGGGAGGTACAGCTGGTACGCCATGCCACCGATGGAGGTCATGAGACGGCGAGCGCCCAGACCCGCCTCGGGGAACGTGATGGGGTCCGGCTCCTTCCACTCCGACTGAGTGGAGAAGTTCCAAGCGACAGAGCACGCATCCGCCACGGACATGGGCGGGCCCAGCCTCGTCTCGCTCCACTGCGTAATCCTGGCTGTGCCCGGGATCTCATCGCTGCGCGTCACGAGGGAGGCCGCGCCGTTCACCAGCGCTGCCGAGACGACCGCGCGTCCAAACCCCATGGCTGGGACGGAGGGGCAAGATACGTGTAGGAGAAACAAGTGTGGAAGTAAGACGCACGAATCTGTGCACAGCCTGAGCCCCCACCGGCTTCAACCTTCATGTGTACGGACTGGCGCTGTGGTATTGAGAAAATAACACGACACGGCAGAAACATAGTTTCTCAGAGGTGCGCGCGGATTTATTGGAACGGCGCTGGGCGCCCCTCCCTGGCGCGCGCAGCGCGCCAGGGGCTGCGCGGGAGGCGCCGTCAGGGGCCCAGCGCGGACTCAAGAAGTCCGCGCGGAACTCCGAGGATTGATATGCTGGCCGGCCGCCGATCCAAGAAATCTGCGCGGAGTTCACAACATTTATGCTTATACCGTTGCTTTCGTCTGTGAAATGCTGAAAGTGGCAGATCTGGTTTCACGGGTTTCTGCCGAGCTTCCGCCAGAAAAGGGGGCCATGGTGGACGCCGCTGGGCTGACGGACGACCCCCTGCCCGAATCGCACCAAAATCCCCTGGCGGAGGCAGCCGTGTACACTTTGCTTGGCTGGCCACGCCGTCAGAAAATCGCACACGTAGTCTGAAGTCTGGTGCTCTAGGGGTCAGAAGACTCCCAGACATCCACGTGCTGTGGAAAGAAACGCGGTCGGCGTTTCTAACAGTTCTGGGACCTCGTGCAGAAAAAACCTGCGGGCTTCGCAGGAAGACGCACTACGGGACGCAGCGGGGGCGTAGCGCTTTCGCGCATCGCGCCCCGCGATTCGCGGCTGATCTTCGCGCCATCACGAGGTATCCCGGGAGAAGGGCAGCTCTCCAGCTCAGCCCGCGACGCGCGAAACGTAATTATCTTCGCGACACACCGGGGATCATACATAGTCAATCCTGTTGCAAACAACAATATCGAGGGGAGGATGACGAGAGATGGGAATATCACAATAAAGCACTGCATACACAGAACTTCTCGGAGGTCCGCGCGCATTTCTCGGATCGACGCTGGCCCCCCTCCCTGGCGCGGCGCCAAAGGCGCCGCCAGGGGGGCTCAACACCGAGGGAAGGAGAAGGTCGAGGCGGTGGGGGAGGATGATGGAGAGGAGGCATGGGAGAGCGGTGAGGAAGCATGGCCACGTACTCGACCACGGTCCCCTCATTACCCATCGGCTTTGGGCGGTCGTCGCTGGTCTTCGCAGGTCTTCTTACTGTCTTCGGCGGTTTCGGGCGGTCTTGAGCGCGACAGCTGGATGGTTGCGTTCAACATTAGCGTCCATGATCGAACACCCGAGGAGGGGAGAAAGGGAGGGATGGGGACGAGCATGCAGGGCGCAGGATGGGATCAGCCGAGGGGGGAGACGACGACATGCGCCAAAGCGCTTGCTGCAACGACGCGTTATTTTTCAAAGCCGGGCGATGAGCGTTGTGCAAGGAAGCTCCAGAGCTGGCGGCGCACACCAACGGGGTGCCCCGAGGGGGGCGTCCTTTCAAGAAGGCGGAGGGCGTCTTGGGAACCACCTGCCTTCTTAGGAGCCCCCCCCCTTCTCACAAGACCGCCCCGCTCGCGCCACGCCGCCGGCGCGCGCCGCACAGTAAGAGGAGCAGAAGTCGAGGGGGCGCAGGTGTCGCTGGGCCGTCCATGCTCCGGCTGCTGGCGGAGGTGCGCGCGGCGCGCGAGGCGCGACGCGGCTGCTCACGACATGACGATGAAGGGGTACTCGCCCAGGCCCCACGCGGTGCGACCGCCAGTGCTCTTGTACTGGTAGGCCCAGCCCCAGGTGTTGGAGCAGCGGTAGGCGATGTCTCCGCTGTGCCCGTCGGTGGAGAGGAACCCTGGGTCGGCGGCCGCCGGCGCCGACACGAACCGCGTGTACTTGGTCACCCCGGACGCGCGTCCGTTCAAGGCGACCACTAGGGCGTCGATGCCAGCGATGCCAGAATGCGACGCGTCGCCGGTGACGTAAACGGGCATCCCGTCCAGGCCAGTCGTGTACGTCGCAGTCGGCGCGTCGGTGACGATCACGGCGGAGACAAGCTCCGGGTAGGTGGTCGCAAACGACAGTGCGCCAACGCCACCCTCAGAGGTGCCACTCACGATGACCTTCTCCGCGTCGCCGTTGAAGTACTCGATGACGTACTTCGTGATGTCCTTGGCCTTGAGCAGACAATCGGCGGTCCATCCTGGGGTCGCGCTTCCCGTCCAACACTGGGGCATGACGACCACGCCAGGGAACGTGTCGGCAAACGTGCAATCGGCCATGGGGCACCCCGTATCCTCTGTCGTACCTGCCGAGTAATACGGCGAGGAGGCTGTCTCGGTGTACGCCGTGGAATACGACCCGTCGAGGCACCAGCAGGAGCGGTTGTCGAAGGATTGGCTCTGGTTCCTGGCCAGCATTCTGGCGAACCCCTGCGAGTTCTTCAGGGTCCACTTGCGCTCCCCGTGGCTGTGCAAGTCGAGGTGCACTGGGTACGGATACAGCGAGTTGTTGTTCCACGTAGGGGGGAGGTACAGCTGGTACGCCATGCCACCGATGGAGGTCATGAGACGGCGAGCGCCCAGACCCGCCTCGGGGAACGTGATGGGGTCCGGCTCCTTCCACTCCGACTGAGTGGAGAAGTTCCAAGCGACAGAGCAAGCATCCGCCACGGACATGGGCGGGCCCAGCCTCGTCTCGCTCCACTGCGTGATCCTGGCTGTGCCCGGGATCTCATCGCTGCGCGCCACGAGGGAGGCCGCGCCGTTCACCAGCGCTGCCGAGACGATCGCGCGTCCAAACCCCATGGCTGGGACGGAGGGGCGAGCTACGTGTAGGAGAAACAAGTGTGGAAGTAAGACGCACGAATCTGTGCACAGCCTGAGCCCCCACAGGCTTCAACCTTCATGTGTACGGACTGGCGCCGTGGTATCGAGAAGAGAATCAAGAAACGGCAGAACCATAGTTTCTCAGAGGTGCGCGCGGATTTATTGGAACGGCGCTGGGCGCCCCTCCCTGGCGCGCGCAGCGCGCAAGGGGCGGCGCCAGAGGCGCCGTCAGGGGCCCAGCGCGGACTCAAGAAGTCCGCGCGGAGCTCCGGGAATGGATATGCTGGCCGGCCGCCGATCGAAAGAATCTGCGCGGAGTTCACAACATTTATGCTTATGCGGCAGATCTGGTTTCTGCCGAGCTTCCGCCAGAAAAGGGGGCCATGGTGGACGCCGCTGCGCTGACGGACGATCCCCTGCCCGAGTCGCACCAACCCCCCTGGCGGAGGCAATTGGCTGGCCACGCCGTCAGGAAATCGCACACGTGGTCTGAAGTCTGGTGCTCTAGGGGTCAGAAGACTCCCAGACATCCACGTGCTGTGGAAAGAAACGCGGTCGGCGTTTCTAACAGTTCTGGGACCTCGTGCAGAAAAAACCTGCGGGCTTCGCAGGAAGACGCACTACGGGACGCAGCGGGGGCGTAGCGCTTTCGCGCATCGCGCCCCGCGATTCGCGGCTGATCTTCGCGCCATCACGAGGTATCCCGGGAGAAGGGCAGCTCTCCAGCTCAGCCCGCGACGCGCGAAACGTAATTATCTTCGCGACACACCGGGGATCATACATAGTCAATCCTGTTGCAAACAACAATATCGAGGGGAGGATGACGAGAGATGGGAATATCACAATAAAGCACTGCATACACAGAACTTCTCGGAGGTCCGCGCGCATTTCTCGGATCGACGCTGGCCCCCCTCCCTGGCGCGGCGCCAAAGGCGCCGCCAGGGGGGCTCAACACCGAGGGAAGGAGAAGGTCGAGGCGGTGGGGGAGGATGATGGAGAGGAGGCATGGGAGAGCGGTGAGGAAGCATGGCCACGTACTCGACCACGGTCCCCTCATTACCCATCGGCTTTGGGCGGTCGTCGCTGGTCTTCGCAGGTCTTCTTACTGTCTTCGGCGGTTTCGGGCGGTCTTGAGCGCGACAGCTGGATGGTTGCGTTCAACATTAGCGTCCATGATCGAACACCCGAGGAGGGGAGAAAGGGAGGGATGGGGACGAGCATGCAGGGCGCAGGATGGGATCAGCCGAGGGGGGAGACGACGACATGCGCCAAAGCGCTTGCTGCAACGACGCGTTATTTTTCAAAGCCGGGCGATGAGCGTTGTGCAAGGAAGCTCCAGAGCTGGCGGCGCACACCAACGGGGTGCCCCGAGGGGGGCGTCCTTTCAAGAAGGCGGAGGGCGTCTTGGGAACCACCTGCCTTCTTAGGAGCCCCCCCCCTTCTCACAAGACCGCCCCGCTCGCGCCACGCCGCCGGCGCGCGCCGCACAGTAAGAGGAGCAGAAGTCGAGGGGGCGCAGGTGTCGCTGGGCCGTCCATGCTCCGGCTGCTGGCGGAGGTGCGCGCGGCGCGCGAGGCGCGACGCGGCTGCTCACGACATGACGATGAAGGGGTACTCGCCCAGGCCCCACGCGGTGCGGCCGCCAGTGCTCTTGTACTGGTAGGCCCAGCCCCAGGTGTTGGAGCAGCGGTAGGCGATGTCTCCGCTGTGCCCGTCGGTGGAGAGGAATCCTGGGTCGGCGGCCGCCGGCGCCGACACGAACCGCGTGTACTTGGTCACCCCGGACGCGCGTCCGTTCAAGGCGACCACTAGGGCGTCGATGCCAGCGATGCCAGAATGCGACGCGTCGCCGGTGACGTAAACGGGCATCCCGTCCAGGCCAGTCGTGTACGTCGCAGTCGGCGCGTCGGTGACGATCACGGCGGAGACAAGCTCCGGGTAGGTGGTCGCAAACGACAGTGCGCCAACGCCACCCTCAGAGGTGCCACTCACGATGACCTTCTCCGCGTCGCCGTTGAAGTACTCGATGACGTACTTCGTGATGTCCTTGGCCTTGAGCAGACAATCGGCGGTCCATCCTGGGGTCGCGCTTCCCGTCCAACACTGGGGCATGACGACCACGCCAGGGAACGTGTCGGCAAACGTGCAATCGGCCATGGGGCACCCCGTATCCTCTGTCGTACCTGCCGAGTAATACGGCGAGGAGGCTGTCTCGGAGTACGCCGTGGAATACGACCCGTCGAGGCACCAGCAGGAGCGGTTGTCGAAGGATTGGCTCTGGTTCCTGGCCAGCATTCTGGCGAACCCCTGCGAGTTCTTCAGGGTCCACTTGCGCTCCCCGTGGCTGTGCAAGTCGAGGTGCACTGGGTACGGATACAGCGAGTTGTTGTTCCACGTAGGGGGGAGGTACAGCTGGTACGCCATGCCACCGATGGAGGTCATGAGACGGCGAGCGCCCAGACCCGCCTCGGGGAACGTGATGGGGTCTGGCTCCTTCCACTCCGACTGAGTGGAGAAGTTCCAAGCGACAGAGCACGCATCCGCCACGGACATGGGCGGGCCCAGCCTCGTCTCGCTCCACTGCATGATCCTGGCTGTGCCCGGGATCTCATCGCTGCGCGCCACGAGGGAGGCCGCGCCGTTCACCAGCGCTGCCGAGACGACCGCGCGCCCATAACCCATGGCTGGGACGGAGGGGAGAGCTACGTGTAGGAGGAACAAGTGTAAAGTAAGACGCACGGTTCTGTGCACAGCCTGAGCCCCCACCGGCTTCAACCTTCATGTGTACGGACTGGAGCTGGCATGCCATCACTACAGGCTCCAGATCTGATTGCGTCAACTTTTGCCGAGCTTCAGCTAGAACCAGAAGTGAAACTGCACTTGCTGACTTAAGCCTCCGGCGGTTGAGTCTCCACCGAGTTCCGCCGAAGGGAAAGTGTCAACCTTTCGTTCCGCCCAGGTTGAGGCCTTCCCTGGGATGGAACATGTGAACCTGCTCCCAAGACTGGACGATCGTCCACGTCCTCCTCCTCCTCCTCCTCCTCCTCCTCCTCCTCCTCCTCCTTCTCGTCCTCCTCCTCCTCCTCCTACTCCTCCTTTTGCCCAACCCTCCGCTTCTCGCTTCATCCTCCTGATCCTTCTCCTACCTCCACCAGAAGAGGACACAGAAAGAAGGAATAGAGAGGAAGAGGAACACGGCAAAGGATGATTGAGAGGACAGTGACGCTCCGAACGCACGCAGACACACTGGAAAGCCAGAGGGACCTGCGAACGCCTTCGATCACATCCAAAATAGTGGGAGCAAGAGGGGGAGGTTGAAGACACTGCAGGAAGCACCGATGTTTCCCGCAGGCGAAGAGCGTCGGTGGCGCTAGGATCAGGACCGTGTCGGGCTCGGGAACCTGTGCCTCACAAGGGCGTCGAAAATCGCACAGCATCGCCGACGCCGGAGAATCAGGCTTGGAGGCGGCCAGGGGGTCTGGACTGGTTGGGGCACGAGAGAATCAGTCTGGAGGGGGGGTGAAGCCAAACCTGGACCCCTCCTGGGGTCCATCTGGCGCAGTTGTTCATCCCAAATCCGCTTGAGACGGTAAAGGCTGAAAAGGCAAAAAAGCCTTCCCGGACCCAGAACCTCGAAGCTGCCCGCCCTTCCTGCTGGCCGGAACCAGTGCTGGTCCACCTCAGACCCCAGACGGCTCCGAAACTCTGTGTTCCGCAGGGCAATTGCACCGCATCACCAAAGAACGTGCGACGCCAGAGAGAATCGGGCCACGGACCTCGCGACACCGCCAGCACATCCGGTAATGCGCCGAGGCCCTCTGGCCTGTTCTACTCTCTCTCTCTCTCTCTCCGCTTGGGAGGCCTGAGCCAATGCAAACAGGCAGCTCCCTGACCCCGGGAGCCTTAGACAAGGTGACGAACATTGGCATAAAAATGAATTGTCGAAGGCCCGCGCGGATTTCTGGGGTAGGCGCTGAGGCCCCCTGGCGGCGCCTCTGCCACATCCCCTGGCGCGCTCCGCGCGCCAGGGAAGGGGGGGCCTGCAGCGCCGATCCGAGAAGTTCATGCGGAGCACCGAAAGCTTATGTTTATGTCACTGCTTGTTTCCCGATGAGAAACGGATGGCCCCTGAACAGCACCAAGGCTACCTGGCTCTGCTGGAGTGGCCTTCTCAGACGGGGTCAACTCTGTCAGAGCCGAGCGCCGCACACCGTCTGCGAGGCGGGGGGGGCTTTCTCAGAAGGCCGCTCCCTGACCGTGCCCCCTCCTACGTTCGGGCCGGGCGAAAGGGGAGGATAGCAAAGGGGGGGTTTGAGAATCAGCTCACGTAACTGATTTTCCCGGCGCCGCCCGGCGCCGATGTATCGAGGAGTGGGCACGGCGGCGGGGCCGAAACCAGCTGCATGCAGCAGATTTCGAAACCCTCCCTGTCCCTATCCCCCCCTTCGTCCGGCCCGATACGTGCCCCCAACTCCTTCTGGCATGGAGGAAACGGGTCCATGGATCACGGTGCCGTTCCACAAGATGAGCTCTTCGTTTTAAGCCGTCTTTGGGCGTTCCCCGGGCTCGTGGATGCGAGGGATGCGAGGCAGGGACGTCCCCGACCACCGCCAGGGAGGTCCCCTCTTGGAGACCTCTTAGGGGATCTCGGCAGGCGGTGGACATGGATATGTTCCCCCCCCCCCCCCTTGAGTTGGCGGCGCGCGGAGGGGCGTTAGGGGGAGGTCAGGCCTGTCCCCCTACAGGCGGATTGTGGGCGAAACATTAAAAATAAAAAAGAAATCAAAAAAAAACTCCTCGAATGCTTAAAAATAGTCAAAAAATCCCCTGACTATTAATTGACTATTTTTGAATCTGCCTCCTGTAAGGGGACAGGCCCGACTTAAGGTTGGGGGCGCCTTCTCAGAGGCAGCCTCCTTGCGAAAAGCCTTCCCCCCCTCCTCCTAACCTTCCTCTGCGCGTGGCCGACCTTCCTAGCCTTCGCCCCTCCTCCAAATCTCCTAACCCTCCTCGAATCTGTCAGTACCCACCGCCTGCCGAGGTCCCTGAAGATCGATCCCTCGGGGCGGTGGTCCTGGACCAGTCCCCGCCTCGGAGTGGAGGGCCCCAGGTGGCCGATCCCGACACCCCCCATCCCTTAACTCCGGCGCTGAGAAAAAGTTGCACCATCGCGAGAAGCAACCAGAAGGGGCAACGATGAAGGGGGGCACTGGCACAGGGGCGGACACATCGCCCTGCAATCGGCGATACATCGCCGACAGACCGTCGATATGCCCCCGATCGTGGATCGTGAATGCGCCCGTTCCTGGGCAAGTTGGGGGGGCTATCGGGCCCCTGTCGGCGATCAATGAGCGATTCGGGGTCGACGGGCCCCCCCCCTTATGGCTGCCCCCCCCTGTCGTTGCCCCTGCCACCACCGGAATCCTGGACCCCATCTTGCTGCTGCATGCTTCGAGCCGCCATGATCTGTGAGGGCTCCACGGCCCGGGGCGGGGCAGAATCGCCCGCCTCGAAGCAACGCGGGGCCACGTCCTCGGGGCCCTTCTGCGAGATCCGTCCCCTTCCCAGCGCACTCTTTGGGTCTGCGGCCGCTCGACTCAAGCAGCGCTCGAGCACTGGAGGGGCGCTTCCGAGGCGAGTTGAAGCACTGAAGCAGGCACGGCGGGCGGCGGAGGGGGGCGCGGGGGAAGATGAGACCGAGCTCAGGATGGCGGCGAGCGAGGGGGGGGAAAGGAGAAGAAGGCCTTCTCAAAGGCCGCGGGGCTTCTCAGAAGCCCTCGCGCCTTCTGAGAATCTGTTTCTGTCTTCGGGGAAAGCTTCGAATATGGAACACTTCTCGGAAGGCCGGGGGGGCTTCCGACCCTTCTGAGAAGGCCTTCCCCCCCTGACTTCCCCTCCTCGCCCGCCGCCGATCAGAACATGCCGTCCTTGTGCGCGAGTGCCGGAGGTCTGCACCTCCTCTTCTTCTTTTTCCTCCTCCTCCTCCTCCTCCTCGTTCCATCCTCCCTCCTCCTCCTCCTCGTCCTCCTCCTCGTCCTCCTCCTCTCCTCTCCTCCTCCTCCTCGTCCTCCTCCTGTCCTCCTCCTCCTCGTCCTCCTCCTCGTCCTCGTCCTCCTCCTCGTCCTCGTCCTCGTCCTCGTCCTCGTCCTCGTCCTCCTCCTCCTCCTCCTCCTCCTCCTCCTCCTCCTCCTCCATTTCTTCTCCTTATAGATATCTCCTCCCTGTCGCACCCCGAGGCCAGTTTCTAGGGCGGGCCGGGCGTTTCGCCTGAGTTCCTCACCATGTATGACCCTGAAGCTTACAAAGTGGCAACAGTTTCACGAATTGAGGGCGGGTGGCTTTCAAAATGTGGCTCTCGCCTTAGCGCCGCGCACATATGTTTTAAAACTTTGCAAGAGCAGCGTCACGAATTGAGGGCGGGTGGTTGTCAAAATGTGGCTCTCGCCTTAGCGCCGCGCACATTCGTTTTCAAACATGTGCAAGAGTTTCACGGACTGAGGGCGGGTGGCTTTCAAAATGTGGCTCTCGCCTTAGCGCCGCGCACATTCGTTTTTAAATATCGCAAGAGTTTCACGGAATGAGGGCGGGTGGCTTTCAAAATGTGGCTCTCACCTTAGCGCCGCGCACATGCGTTTCAAAACATCGGAAGAATTTCACGTATCGAGGGCGGTTCCTTTTCAAAATGTGGCTCTCGCCTTAGCGCCGCGCACATTCTTTTTCAACATTTGCAAGAGTTTCACGGATTCCCATGGTCAACGTACCAGAAATGGCGTTCGGGAAAGATTCAGGATTATGCGGGCGCAACAGTTATGCTGATTCGCTGTGTTGAGATCCCGAAAAGGGAACGCTGGCATGATTCTGGATCGTCCAGACGCAGCAGTCAGGTTGATACTTGTCGTTGAACTCCCAACAACAATGTTTTGGCACGCTTCAGGATCTTCAAACTGTTGTCTTCCAACGAGGCTGTTCCCTCAATTGAAATGTACCGTTCTAGGGGCCTATGAAGAGGGAGCTTGGAGGGAGAGTTAGTTCCAAAATCGTTGATGACTCCTGGGTTTCCACTGGTCCTCCTCCTCCCCTCCCCATCCTCCTCCTCCTCCTCCTCCTCCTCCTCCTCCTCCTCTCTCCTCCTCCTCCTCCCTCCTCCTCCTCTCCTCCTCTCCTCCTCCTCCTCCTCCTCCTCCTCCTCCTCCTCCTCCTCCTCCTCCTCCTCCTCCTCCTCCTCCTCCTCCCCCTCCTCTTCCTCCTCCTCCTCCCCCTCCACCCAAGCACAACCCACTCTCTGCTGTGCACGACCGGGCCTGGGCGGGCGCTGCCGCGCCGACGTGCGGCCCGCCGTCCGCGCCGCGCACGAGCTCCTCGCGCGAGGCCGGCCGGGCACCCCTCGCTCGCCCGCCCGCCCTCAGAAGCACGGGCCGGCCAAGGTGCTGGGGCTCGCTCGGGTCTCGGACTGGCCCGGGGGCGGTAACAAGCGCCCCGTAGATGAGGTCCGAGTAGATGATGTCGGAAGGTCGCGGCGCATCGCCGATACATCGGCGATGCATCGGCGATGCATCGGCGATGCACCGGCGATGCATCGTCGACGTCGGCGATGCATCGGCAACGTCGACGCGAAGCAAAGCGGGCTGCACATCGAGCCGCATCGGTGATGCACCGGCGATGCGGCGCGATCCTCCGACCCCATCTGCTCTACATCCGACCCCACCTCAACGGCCTGGAGAAAAGTAGATCCGTGTCCGCGGCCCCGCGGGCCGGGCCTCTGAGCCGCGACCTTGCGGATGCCGGGCGTCTTTCCGCGCGTGCCCCGCGCGGAGCGTGCCCGTCGTGCGACCGCGTGTCCGCGGGACCGCGCCCCAGAGAGTCCAGACCGCGAGGGAGCGGGTGTGGATCTGCTCGTCGCTCGCTACCCGCGCCGCGCGCGAGGCATCACAGGTTTGCGTGGCAGTGCGCACAGGTGCCGCCCCTCCCTGCTTGACGGGTGCGGGCCTCGTCCCTCGTCCCTGCCTCCTCGCACTGGCGTGTCTTGTCGCTGCTGCCCACCGCCTCATCCACCAGGGGCCCGCTCCCATCCGAGCAAGGGTTCGTGGGCCTCCTCCTCCTCCTGCGACGCGGACAGTCACGACGGGAGCGTTTTTCCAAATTTCCACCTGCGAAGGCCCTCACTGGGCACTGGGACGAGCCTCCGGGGAGCCACGCTGCGAAAAAAAACGCGACGAAGGATGTCTGGATGACCTGCCAGGCCCCAGCCCAGGCCCCCACAGAGCGGCGAAGAAGAAGAGGAATAAGAATACGAATAATCTCCACACCAACAACGAAACACCTAGTGATACTAGCAATACTCCCAATATTAAGTAGACCAAGGACTTACCTACTAATAGGCTCAATGATGACACGCGCTACGTCAAAGCACGGAAGCAAATTTGGGGTGCGGCGAGCGATCTGGGCCAAACCACCAGCCCCACAGCGCAGAGGAGGAGGGGGAGGGGGAGGGCAATGAGGGGGATCCTTGGGCGAGAGGGACCTGCTCAGGGGGGAAGAACATCAAGCTGAAATCGTTGGTACGCTGGCCGTGGCGACGATAAGACTCGGGGAGCCTGAAACAGTGTCTAGACATGCATCCTAGAATCTGGTCTGAGACGACGGCAGGGAGCAATGATCAGATAAAGTCGGGCAAAGACACATTCGGAATTTCAGTTTTTTGACGGTCCTGGGTCTCAGAACTGGCCTCCAGAGGCCAAACACTTCAACAGGAACTAGCCGTCGCCATTTTCTCTTGCCGCCTGGATCTGCGGGGACCTCGAACCAGGGCTCGGCCTGAACGGTGTCTGGCCGATTTCGTGGGCCGCTTTCGTTTCGACTTCGTTTTGCAGCAAGGGCGGAACGATGACAAACCGATGTAGAACGTCACTCGTGCCCTAGGCCTCACCATGATATCATGTAAACTGGAACTCGACGCATTTCTCGTTGCGCGAGCGCGCACGCGCTCTAGCGTGCAGATTCATTCCAACAAGCCAATGGGGGATGGCCAATTCAGCTCGGAATACCGATAGGTGACACCCAACTCTACCACATGGATTCTAAAGGCCTCACAATAACCTGTTGCATTGTGCCACGATGCGCTTTCCTCATGCATCGCACGTACGCGCGCGAGGAATAATGAAACCACGTGGTGCAAAAAAAATGTCACGCTGAGGCCCTCAGAATACGAATGGCACACTGGAATGTCACAAGTCAGCACTCGAGGCTAATCGGGCCATCGTCTGTTGACGTTTGCATCGCGAGCGCGCACGCGCTCGCGAGGGCACGCGCGAGCAGTGCGCAAAGCGCATCGTAGCGCAATGCATCGTTTCGCGGTGAGGGGGTAGGAAGGATGTATGAAGGAAGCAGCAGGAGGTAGGAAGAAGCAGGAGGTAGGAAGAATAGGAGGTATGAAGCAGGAGGTAGGAAGGGGAAGAGGAGAGGGGGGGAGAGAGAGAGGAGGGAGGAGGAGAGGAGAGGAGGAGGAAGGAGGAGGAGGAGGTGAAGGAGGAGGAGGAGGAGGAGGGGAGGAGAAGGAGGAGCAGGAGGAGGAGGAGGGAGAAGAGAAGAGATGAGGAGGAGAGGAGGAGGAGAGGAGGAGAGAGAGGAGAAGAGGAGAAGAGAGGAGGAGGAGGAGGAGGAGGGGAGGAGGAGGAGGAGGAGGAGGGAGGAGGAGGAGGAGGAGGAGGAGGGAGGAGGGAAGAGGCCGCGGAGCAAGGAGGAGAGACAAGAGGAGGAGGGATACCCCGCAGATGCTGGCAGCGGAGCGGCGCGCGCAACGTCCTGGCCGCAGCACCGCCAGAACGACAGGTCGGCCTCTCGCGGGGCACGCCGGCCGCAGGGGCGCCGCAGTCGGCGCCGGCACCGTCGCCGACGGGGGGGCCCAAGACGGACGGTACGCGCCACGCCACGTCGAAAAGTTGGCGCCGTCGCCGACGGGGATCGGCGGCGAGAGAGGGGGTGATGCGAGAAGGAGAAGCAGGGGAGAGGCCTTCTCAGAAGGCGGCAGGGCCTCGCAGAGGCCCCGTGGCCTTGCGAGAAGTGTTCGCAGTTTCCGCTTCCGCTCAATAACTTTGGCAAGATTTGAGCTAGAGACTTCAAACTTGGTACACTGTTGCATTGGCACAAGGGGCTGGGTCAAGTTCTGACATCGGTCACTCGATCTTGACCGTTGACCTGGAAAACGTCCGTCTCAGACAGTCAGGAGGCTTCCGAGCCTCCGGAGCAGGCCCGCCCCCTCTCATTTGCCCCCCGCGCTGGTCGTCGAGGGGAGGCCCTGGGAAACCGAAAGGTACCGATACCGCTACTCCACGGCCCCCTCCCAGAGTGCGTCCTGACCAGAATCTCGAAGCGAATCCAGCGGTGGTGACGAGGGTCTCCGACGAGGCGCGGATGCGAGAACTCCGCGCGGACCTCAGAGTTTTTTTTTTTCGGTCTATGTCACTGTCCGTTCTCCTGTGACTGCCGCGTTCATGCCTTCGGCAAAAAGGCGAGAGGGGGGGGACTTTGGGCGCGGACTCGGCGGTGCATCGCGCCGACAGGGCAGCGGCGGGCCCCCGACGGTGGCCCCGCGACCGGCGTTCTCCGGGGCGGGGTCGGGCGACCCGGGCCCCACCTCCGACCTTGGCGCGACGACTGGGCGACGTGGGGGGTGGGGTCGATGGCCGCGGTGCCACCTTCCACCCGGGGCCGGGCCCTCCTGCTGTCGACCATGGCGCGTGCACAGGGGTCGATGGGCCTGCTTTCCACCACCACCACCAGGAGTTGGGGGGGGAAATGAGGTGGAGGAGGAGGAGGAGGAGGAGGAGGAGGAGGAGGAGGAGGAGGAGGAAGGAGAAGGAGAAGGAGGAGAGGAGAAGCCCCCCCCTCCCCCTCCTACCGAAGGTGGCTGCGGTGGAAAACAAGCCCATCATGGGTGTGCCCCCCCCCCCCCCCAGCTCGCGAGCCGTGCTCATGTCAGGAGCGCTCGCGCCATGCGCACTCTCTTCCTCTCGCGTTCGCTCTCTCGCTCTCTCTTTCTCTCTATCTCTCTCGTTCTTTTTCTCTCGAGGCCCGTGTGGATTCATGTGCGCGAGCGGCTACGTTTCGCTCCAGATTCGACATGCTTAGACGAAGAAGCCAAACAACTGCATCAACATCAGCTTGGGTCGGCGATCGACCCCTCTAGGCGGCTTCTGATGCGCCGCCACTGGCGCACTCCGCGCGCCAGGGAGGGGGGTCCAGCGCAGATCCAAGAAATTCGCGCGGACTTCGACGCATTACGCTTGTGCAGCATGCTCTCCCTCGAGCTGTGGTGGTCGTCAGCGTCGGCGTCGTCGTCGTCGGCGTCTTGGGCGCGGCCCTTGCTGCGCGCCGTCGGCGCCGTCGCCGCCGGGCCTCCAGCTGGCGCTGCCTCTGGGGGGGCAGGAACAGTCCGATACCTCGACGCCTCCCCGACGGGGTCGGACTCGATGGGGTCGGAGGAAAGCGCCGCATCGCCGATGCATCGACGACGCGCGGGCGGCGCTCGGAGCGTATCGACCCATCCGCGACTCACAACGCGGCGAGACGGGCTCCCCTCCGACCCCATCTGCTCGGAACCCATCTGTTCGGCGGTGGACAGACCTCCCTTTCGTAAACCAGCCTCTGGTGAAAACGGCCTCCTGGGACCGAAACCGACGGACCTGGACCTGCAAAGATGACGGCCGCGACGCCCTCTCGCGAACCGAAAACGGCCAATTCGCGAATCGACGTGTCAGGGTAGGAGGTCCGTCCACCCCCGATCTATATGGGAGACTGACGCCTCCCGGGGCGCATCCCGAACAGAGTTTTTCGAGGTGAGTCCGGCCGTGGCGACGAGGGCTCTCCAGAGCGAGCAGCGGCATTGGTATCTTTAGGTCGGGCCTGTCCACCTAAAGGCGAATTTTGACAGACAAATCAGGAATACTCTAAACATACCCCCAAACTACAAAAAAAATACATACTCAAGACATCGTCCTCCTCAGACTATTGCTGGACTACTTCTGGAGATTACCCCTGCAGAAGGACAGGCCCGACTTCACGGCATCTCCCTCTCCCCCCCGAGCCTCCCGGAGGCCGCCCGCAGGCGTTCCTCCAGCTGCTCCTCGCGCCCGCGCGCCGCCTCCCAGCGGCCGTGGAACTCCGCCTCCAGGGCCCGCGCCGCCGCTTCGCCGCGGCGGGCCATCTCGCTCTCCTGTGGGGGGCAGGCGGGGCGGCCAGCATCGGATCGGGGCATCGGAGCGAAAGGAGGAAGGGAAGGGGGGGGAGGAGATGGGTGGGGGGAAGGAGGGGGAGGAGGGGAGGAGGAGGAGGAGGAGGAGGAGGAGGAGAAGAGGAGATAGGAGGAGGAGGAGGGGAGGAGGAGGAGGAGGCGGAGGAGGAGGAGGAGGGGAGGAGAGGGGGGACGGGAGGGGAGGAGGGAGGGGCGGAGGGGGAGGAGGGGGGAGAGGAAAGGAGGAGGAGGAGGAGGAGGAGGAGGAGGAGGAGGCGGAGGAGGAGAGAGGAGGGGGAGGAGGAGGAGGAGGAGAGGAGAGGAGGAGGAGGAGGAGGAGGAGGAGTCGGAGTCGTCGGAGTCGGAAGCCTTGGCAGTTCGGTGAGGAGGAGGAGGAGGAGGAGGAGGAGGAGGAGGAAGGAGGGAGGAGAAGGACGGGCAGGGGCAGGACGAGCAGGACGAGCAGGAGGAGCCGAGAGGAGGAGCAGGAGGAGCAGGAGGAGCCTCCACCTGACCCCGCCCCACTTGGCCCCTCGCCGTGGCCGGCCGCCCCGCCTCCTGCCGGCGATGTGCCGCAGACGTTGGGCCCTTTGTCCCCGGAGATCCAGCGCATCAAACAATCAAGACGGACATTTTCCGCGGTGTTCGGCCCCTGTTGGCGGTGGACAAACCTCCCTTTAGTGAAAACGGCCTGGGACCGAAACCGACGGACCTGGACCCGCAAAAATGACGGCCGCGACGCCCTCTCGCGAACCGAAAACGGCCAATTCCTTAATCGACGTGTTAGGGTAGGAGGTCTATCCGCCTCCGACCCTGGGAGCCCTTGTCGGGCTCCGGGGCTGTCAGAAAACGGCTCAGGACGAGAAACCTGTCCTGGGGAATGGGTCGAGACTTCGGATTGAAAAAAACACGACGTCGGATCTCTGAGTCTGCTCCCCCCGTCGACGGAACACGAGCGCCCGGGAGGGCAGGATCGGCAATGCTCTGCTGGGCTGCGCACAAAGCCCCCCCCCAGGCAGTGCCGGCTGGCCTCAGAAGGCCTCACGAATAGTCCTGTTGGCCACAACAGGCCCCCCGAATACAGGAGGAGCTCGTCCACAAGAAACCTCCCTCAAGAAACCCAACCCTGCGACCCCAGGGCGTTCCTCAACTTTTGGCGTGGGAACGCCACGCTGTCCATTTCCATCGAAAAACCATCGAAACCCAAGAAACCCAGGGCACCCTGGAGGCAGGCAGGGTGTTTCCTGGCAGGGAGCTCCATTGTAATTATGAAGGGGCCTTGGGACACACAAATAAATACACACAAATAACAGGATTCCCCATATTTTCATGTATTTTCTGGGTTTTTGTCTTCCCCCCCACTTCCCATATTTTCCCACATGTTCGGGGAATCGACGATTAATTGTGTCTGTGTGTTTTTTCCTCTCCTGAAATTGGTCTCGGGCGGTGTCCACACCCCGGCGCTCTGCCTCCGGCGGCGGGGCGCTCCGCGCGCCCCAAGGCTGTGCTGGAGGCAGAGCGCGATCCACAGCCCTGGCCCGAGCAACTTCTTCAACAAAAAGGGAGGGGCCAAGGAGCCGCGGGGCGTCCCCCTCCCCTCTGTAAATCTCGAGTCCGCCGGGGGGGGGCCAAGGATATAGGGGATGCCCCCCCCCCCCCCCTACACTCCCGCCCAGGCCTCCCCTCTCCCACCAGCCAGAGAACCGAGGGGCCTGGACCATTCCCCCCCCCGGGGGAAATTATCCGAAGGGGTCCAGAGACCCCCCCAATTCCCCCCCCCCCCCCCCCCGCGCCCGCCGGGAATATGACTGGAGGGGTCCAGAATCACCCTCCGCGGGCAGCGGCGAGGACGACGGCGCCGCGAGGGGAGGGAGGGCGGAGGATTTCGGACCCCCCCCCGAATGATCTTCCCGGGGATGGGTGGGGGCGGGGGGTAGGGAGCCACATGCGAACCCTACCCCTACCCCCCACGATTTCTGAAGGAGAGGGTGGGGTTCACTTCGTTCGGGACCTCCCGAGCGAAGTGGCCCCCCCCCTCAGAAATCGTGGGGGGGTAGGGGTAGGGTTCGCATGTGGCTCCCTAGGGGGGGGGAACTGCATGGACCCCTCCCCTCCTGTTTTTTTTTGAGGGGGGGCCTGACAGCAGCTGCAGAGAGCGCCATTTCGGGTACTGGGACCGCCCCGGGCTCAGCTCGGGGGGGCGGCACTGGGGCCAGCTGCGACTCCTTGGGGGGCCCCTTCTGTTGCCAGCGGGGGCTACCTTGGGGGGGGCCTGACGTACCAGGCAAGATCGGTCGGCAACGAATCGTGGAATCGGCTCGAGTCGAGATCTGTCGGCGATGCATAGCAGCTTCCGGGTCACTGTCCCCACTCCCGTCGAAGAATAACCAGAACAATAAAAAGAAAGAGAAGAAGAGGAATGATAACAATAATGCGTAATAATAAGAAGAGGGATAACAACAAGAAGACGAAGCGGCGGCATCGACATCTAGCTAAACGTTAAAAGGTCAACACAGGTTGCTGGGGCAACCGTTTGTTTCGCCGACGGCTGATTTCGCCCAGCTGGTTTCGCCCGGCTGGTTTCGCCGCCCGGCGAAACCAGCTGCCGCAGCTGCCGTCGGCAAAATCAGCTGCCGTCGGTGAAACCAGCTGCAGTCGGCGAAACTGCCCGATCCGACCCGCCTGCTGGGGTCCGCCCGCCCGACCCGACCCGCGCGTCAGGGTTCGCGCGTGCTCGGTCGAGCGTGCCCCACTTTTTGCTGTCTAGCCCGCCACACCCGACCCGCCCGTTAGGGTCGTTAGGGTCCGCCCGCCCGACCCGAGCCGACCCGCCCGCTAGTGTCTGCCCGCCAGACCCGACACGCCCGTGAGAGTTCGCGCGTGTTCGGTCGAGCGTGGCCCACACTTGAATGTCCCGCCCGCCAGACCCGACCCGCCCGTTAGGGTCCGCCCGCCCGACCCGGCCCGACCCGCCAGCTAGGGTCCGCCCGCCCGACCCGACCCGCCCGTTAGGGCTTGCGCGTGAGAGGTCGAGCGTGCCCCACACTTGAATGTCCCGCCCGCCCGACCCGACCCGCACGTTAGGGTCCGCCCACCCGACCCGACCCGACCGCTCGGGTCAGACGCCCGACAACGACGACGGCGACGACGACGACGACGGCGACGACGAACGACGACGGCGGCGGCGCCGACGGCGACGGCGACGACGGCGTTGGCAAAACCAGCGCTGGCGAAACCAGCGCTGGCGAAACCAGCCGCTGGCGAAACCAGCGGGGTGAAACCAGCGCTGGCGAAACCAGCGCCGGCGAAACCAGCGCTGGCGAAACCAGCCGTCGGCGAAACGAGCATGGGCCGCATCAGATCGTCAAAATATCAAAATCGAGTCCGATCGGTCTGGCCACAATCGACATCGAATCGGACCGATCAGATCGAGATCGACCCTGCCTGAGAGCCCAGGCATCCTCCGTCGTGTTTTTTCGCAGCATGGCTCCCCAAGGTCGGGACCTTCACTGGGACCAGCTTTTCGTCCTGAGCTGTTCTCCGACCCCCTGGGGTCCGAAGAGCCCACCCTGGAGGTCAAAACTTGACACAAACCCTTCGTCGTGATCTCTGCAAAACGAGGGGGTGTCAGGCAAGGGGGGAAAGGACGAACCCGCCCAAACATAATTAACCATTTGGGCGCCGGAAATGGGTACGGAAGAAATGGGTACAGTGTCCAACAACAGATGTTGTCCCAAACCAACAGCGGCCTCTGTTGGGCAGGCGGCCTTCTGTCTCGAATGGGCACAGGCCGCGGCGGCGTGGACAGCGAGTCCCGTTCAAAATGAGCAGGAACTGCTGCTCGGCTTCGTGCCCACTCTTCCCGTGCCCATCTCGATCGTGCCGAAGCACCACTGGCAGTGCGCCAGGGCCAGCCTCCGGCAGCCGAAGGCTTCGGGGCGCGCCCGCGCCACACCAGAGAGCCCGAGTCCCCGGGCGCCGAGCTCCCTGTCTGCTGCCCCACAACACCCGTGCCTGCGCACGCACGGCTTCCACGACGGCTTCCAGACGCTGCCTGGGGACTCTTCGGAAGCCCTCGTTGGGGGCCTCTTGGGCTCACTGAGCCCGATCCCGTCGTGGGCGCGCTCGGACCCCTCTGGAGCCCTCTCGGAAACGCGTTGAGCCGAGCCGTAGCACTGACGGACCCAGGGGCCAGCCGAAAGGCCCTCGGGGCCGGCAGAACGGCTCCCAGAGGCCGAACAATATCCAGCAGCCTGCCGTCGTGTGCTGCTCACCACGCGAGGGGGCCTGGAGGGGGAGAAGGGCGAGCAGGACCTCTGAGCACGCCAGAACAGCGTATGCGTACGGAACAGACGGGGCGCAGTGCCTACAGCCGGACCCGGGCCAGAAGAGCATCCTCTAGGAACGTGAGCCCCTCCGTCTGCCAAAACACACGGAGCCTCCAAGGGAACCCTCCCCGAGATGCACGAGATCATCCAACAAGCACGATCTTATACCTCGGCCCGACTGCACTGGCAGGTGTGGACCAAACTGGCAGCGGCCGCCGTTGGGCAGGTGACCTTTTCTCTCGAGGGGGCAAGAGAAGTCAGCGGCGACATCATAGAGGCGTCCTAGATGGGGTCGGAGCAGATGGGGTCGGGGGATCGCGCCGCATCGCCGATGCATCGGCGATGCACCGGGGATACACCAGTGACGCATCGTCGACGTCGGCGATGCATCGGCGACGTCGACGTGAAGCAAATCGGGCTGCACATCGAGCCGCACCGCTGATGTATCGGCGATGCGGCTCGATCCTCCGACCCCATCTGCTCCGACCCCATCTAGGAGGCCTAGACTGAGGGGGCCCTGGGACACACAAACAAATGAACACAACTCACAGGATCCCTCATATGTCCATATGTTTTCGGAGCTGTTGGCTTCCCCCCCCCACTTCCAAGATCTTTCCACGTTTTCTGGGGAGTCGACGTTCAATTGTGTCTGTGTTTTCCTCCTCCTGAATCTAGGAGACCTGGGCTTAAGCCGGGCGTGTCCCCCTACAAGGGGATTTTGGGCGAAAGCAAAATATGCAAAACTATGCCCCCAAAGTGCTTAAAGATTGTAAGGAAATCGTCCCCTGACATTTTTTTAACTATTTTGGGATATGTCCCTGTAGAGGCACACGCCCGACTTAAGCCTAGGCACCAGCAGAGAGGAGCCCTGCTCGACGTGGGCAGGGACGGCTGCCAGCCTCTGCCGAGGCAGTCTCTCCCCGCGCCGAGTCCGCTCGTGCCTGCCAGGCCTCCGCCTGCTCCTCCTGCTCCTCCTCCTCCTCCTCCTCCTCCTCCTCCGCCTCCTCCCCCTCCTCCTCCGCCTGCTCCTCCTCCGCCTCCTCCTCCTCCTCCTCCTCCTCCCTCATCCCTCCTCCTCCTCCTCCTCCTCCTCCCCTCCTCTCCTCCTCCTCTCCCCCTCCTCCTCCCCTCCTCCTCCTACCTCCTCCTCCTCCTCCTCCCTCTCCGCCTCCCTTCCTCCCCTCCTCCTCCTCCCTCCTCCTCCTCCTCCTCTCCTCCTCCTCCTCCCCTCCTCCTCCGCTCTCCTCCTCCTCCTCCTTCCTCCTCCTCCTCCGCCCTCCTCCTCTTCCCCCCCCCTCCCCCCCCTCCCCCCCCCCCCCCGCCGCTCCCCTCCCTCCTCCTCCCTCCTCCTTCCTCCTCCTCCTCCGCCTCCTCCTCCTCTCTCTGCTCCTCCTCCTATCCTCCTCCTCTCCTCCTCCTCCTCCTCCTCCCCCCCTCCTCCTCCCCCACCTCCTCCTCCTCCCTCCTCCCTCTCCCTCCTCTCCCCCTCCCCCTCCCCCCTCCCCCGGCGCCTCCTCCCTCCTCCTCCCCTCGCCGCTCCTCCCTCTCCTCTCCTCCCCCCTCTCCTCCATCCCCCCTCCTCCTCCTCCCCCTCCCCCTCCCCCTCCCCCTCCCCTCCTCCTCTCTCCTCCTCCTCCCTCTCCTCCTCCTCCTCCTCCTCCTCCGCCTCCTCCTCCTCCGCCTCCTCCGCCTCCTCCTCTCCTCCTCCTCCACCTCCACCTCTACTCCTCCTCTCCCTCCTCTCCCTCCTCCCCTCCCCCTCCCCTCCTCCTCCTCTCCTCCTCCTCCTCCTCCTCCTCCTCCTCCTCCTCCTTCGAACGCACGCTCAAATGGATTACACGGGTCCGTGGATCTGGCGCGTGGACGCCGGATCCACGGCTCGGGCAAAGTGCCCGTCGGTTGTAAGAAGCATGTAGAGGCACGAATTAGGAAGGCGTTGAAAGTAGACTGGGTGTCCGCCCGCCCCCTGAGGACGACGGAGAAGGCGAAGCCACTCGGTCATTGAAGTAATTAGAAAGGCGCCTCAAGCAGATCGGGATCTGGGAATCCCCGAATACCTACTTTCAACGACCGATGGGTACCCCCGAATCGCGAAGCCAGTGCCGCCCGATGTGACGACGGAGCGTGCCGATGGTGTCCGGAAACGGGACCCGTCTTATTTTGCTCCCATCGTGCTTAAGGACCACATCCCAGAAATACTTTCGAGCACCCAGAAAAAAAGTCGAAACAATGTCGAACGAGTCTCGCCTCCCAGGGCCCGACACGTGAAAACCCTCCAGATTCGGCACTTTCTGGTGATCAAGGCTAAGGTAGGTTGGAACATCATAAGACCCGTCGCCAATCGACGCGCGTTACTCCATGCCTGCGCTTCCTCGAAATCCGATCGCAGTGTAAGTACCCAGCCTCACGTCTGCAGCATGGGGAAGTGCGGGGATCTTCTGGCCCGGGTCAATCCAGACCCGGATCAGACAGGCCTTGCAGGATCCTGCAGGATCCTGCACCCAAACCCCAGTCAGTGCACCCCTGCAAGATCCTGCGAATTCTGGCGATCTGACTAACCCCCGTTTGCATTGACCCACTTCTCTTGAGCCCCGAGAGTCAAAAAAATACCGATACCGCGCCGCTACTCCCCGGACCACTCCAGGGGCGCGCTCTGGTCAGGACTCCGAGGGGAATCCAGCCATGGGGACGAGGGTATCCCAGTAAGCTCAAAGAGGCGAAAACCAAGACGGGTAGCAGTATCGGCACCTTTCTCCCTCCTCTGAGCTTCCTCGAATTCCGATCGTGCCTTGGAGGCGGCTGGGGGTCTGAACTGGTTGAGACCCCGAATAGTCGGTCAGGAGGGGGGATGAGGCCAAATCCACTCGAAATCTGCCCCCAAACGCCTCACATTAGGAGGCAACTACTGGGAGGTTTTCGTCGGAAGGATTATGAGGAGGATTAAGCCCCATTGGGGGGCTGTTACGCCAGAATGGGCCTCGGATCAAGCAGATTAAGCCGGATTAAGCGGGATTAAGCGGGATTGAGCCGGATGAAGCGGGATTAAGCGCGGGACTGAGCCGGCGGACCAGGGCTGAATCAGAATTTGACCTCCCAGGAGTTGCATCCGAACTCCCAGGATCCATCTGGCACCATGTTCCACCCAAAATTACGCTCTTCACGGCCCCGGGGCCCAAACGCGTTCCCTGGAGACCGACACGGGCAACAACAACAAAACAACGAATCCGGGACCTCAAACCTGCCCGCCCTTCCTGCAGACGGGCTCTGGTGCCGGGCCCCCCTCGGACCCCCAGACGCAGGAGAGCCCAGAGCCGCATCGACAAGCCCGATCGGCAATCGAAATGACTCGGATCGACAGTAATCGGCAGCCGAGTCGGGAGAAGCTGGATCGGCGGACATCGGCAGGCCAGCAGGCCTCCGTTGGGAAATCGGAACCCCGATCGGAACCCGAAGCCGAATCGAATCATCATCGGAAGCCATCGACGTCGCGCCGAATCGAACCAGAGGGGTCGAAACGAGCCCCGCAGACGGCTCCAGATCGCGAGCAGCCTCGCGGCGCCGAATCGAACCGGAGGAGTCGAATCGAACCCGCCTCGACGTCGCGCCGAGTCGAACCCGAGGAGTCGGATCGCGAGCGGCCTCGCGGCGCCCCCCCTCGGGGCCGCTCATCCCGACTCGTCCCCAAGCCGGGTCTCCTCCGCCTGGCGCCGCTCCTGGGCGCGCCGCTGCGCGGCCTGCAGCGCGCCGTGGCGATCCCGCCGGAGCTCCCGCAGCTCCTCTGCCGCGGGCCGCAGGGGGGCGGGGAGACTCTGGCCCGGAAGGCCCCCGATGGCGATGGCGAGGGCGATGCTTGCGGAATGCTGAGCGCACTCTGCACTCGTGGCTATGGTATCGTCATCGTCATCGTCGTCGTCGTCGGCATCATCGATACCCCCAAGAGCCCTCCAGGAGGCCTCTGAGAGGCAGCCCACGAAGCCCTCACGTGCATCCAAGAAGCTCCTGACCCACCACATAGCTTCCAATGACCGTCGAAAGCGCCCGCTCCTTCTGGAGGGTCGGCGGAATGGTTTAAGCCCCCTTGAGTGAGGGCAGAGTCTGGCCCTATACGGTCGTGGTGCCATGTGGGTCTTACGCGAGATGGCATAGCGACCGCACGCGGTGGCTCATGCGGGCCGCCGTAGCGGTGGGCGACCCCGGGGCTCCTGCTCAGCGGCCTCCAGCTTGCGCCGCAGCACGGCGCCCTGCCGCATCGAGGCCAGGTCGCGCTGCTCCAGGCGCTCAATGTGCTCCTGCAGCGTGTCGCACAGCTCCTCCTCGTCGGGGGCGGCGCTCATAGCGGCCAGCGGGGGGCTGCGACGCGACTGCGGCCGAGCGGGCCTGAGCAAAAGAGAAGCTGCGTGGCGGCGCGGGCTGATTACCTGCCGAAACACCCCAACCCGCACCGACATCGCGGCTGGGCCTGTCAATCTCCAGCTGGGGGGGAGGGGGGGACATGCCAGAACATCGAAACAACACATTCGGCGGTGATTAAACCTCCCTTAAATAAACATCCCCTTAGTGAAAACGGCCTGGGACCAAAACCGACGGACGTGGACCCGCAAAAATGACGGCCGCGACGCCCTCTCGCGACCGAAAACGGCCAATTCCTTACTCGACGCCTCAGGGTAAGAGGTCGATCCGTCTCCGACACACGTGGAGCCCGTACGCCCGCCGCCTTCGAAATTTTTGGAGGGTCTGGGACGTTCGGGTTGGGCAGGGGGGTGGTCTGGCACACTGCGGCGGGCGGGGCCCTCGGGCTCGGTGGGGGAAGAGCCCGCCGAAAGGGGACGGCGGCTGCAGTGGCAGGCTTCCAACAGCCCCGCGCCCGTGCCGGCCTGGTGCACTGCGGCAGGCTCGGCATCCTCGCGTGCGTGCCTGCTCGGTCCTCGATGGGTTCAGGACCTGCTCCGTCCTGCTCACCGTGCCCTGCTGTCCCTAAGTCATGCCACGCAAGAGCCTACCACTGCACTGCAACGGCTCCGTATGCAGAACTCGCGGAACACCCGTCGTCGCCGAAACACTCCTGTCCGCTGCGCTCTGATTCAACAGACGATGTTACGGATGGTGTTCGCATCCAGATTCAGGGGAAAACCTCCCGTCCCACCAGCGCCTCAGACACATCCCGCCCCCGCGGCTGGCCATCCTGGACCGACCCCCAGATCGCCGATGTCCCCGTTGCCGTTTCTCTCCGGTCTGTGGCGGCTCCAGGGCACGAGGTCACATCGGCTCCCTCTCCCCACATCCCCCCAGCGGTCCTGGACTGGGGGCGCGCCCCAGAGAGCCGTGCTCGCGCGGAGCAGCTCTCACTGGAGGGGCGTGCCAGGGACTTGCTCCTGCTCCTTGCTTCCTGTGCCGAGGGTCTCCGACGATCCGAATCCAAACAGACTCACATGTACTTCTGCCCGAGCTGATGGATCTCGATCGTCTGGGCCTCCTAACTTCGCACATCGCGCCGCGCGATCCGTGAGGCGCAATTATCTTTGCGCTATCGCGCAATAGCTCAGACCCAGGCCACGAAGCGCGGAGGGGGCCGGAGGAGGAGGGGCCCGCGGAGGAGGAGGGGGAGGAGGAGGAGGAGGAGGAGGAGGAGGAAGGGAGGCCCGAGGGTAAGGGCATTTCTCAGACCCAGGCCACGAAGCGCGGTGATCTTCGCGCCCCGTCGGGCGACCTAGGTCATCACAAACTCTGCTGATCGATCTCACCCAGGGCATACATACATACGTACGTACGTACGTACGTACATACATACATACATACATACATACATACATACATGCATGCATGCATGCATGCATGCATGCATGCATGCATACATACATACATACATACATACATACACACATACATAAATACATACATACATGCATACATACATACATACATGCATACATGCATACACATACATATATACATACATACATACATACATACATAAATGCATGCATACATGCATACATGCATGCATGCATGCATACATACATACATGCCTGCATACATACATACATACATACATACATACATACATATACATAAACACACATACATTCATGCATAGCTACCTGCATACATGCATACATGCATACACATACATATACACATATCTATACCTATGCATCTACATATACGTATACGTACACATATACATACACATATATACAAATATATATATATATATATGTGTGTGTATATATATGCACATACAAGAACCATCGCGCGCGAGTCGCGCGCGCTCAAGTTCTAGCTAGGCCTCAATTGCTAACTCATGTAATATAATTGTGGTTGCTTCTTGCGTCCAGAGGCTCCCTTGGAGGCCCTGTGGAAGCCTCGGAATCGTGTAGAAGCGGAAGTGCAGAAACGCAGAAATCATCCTTCAGGTATTCAACGATTTGGGGCCCTCAAAAGCTTCCTGGGTTCTTTTTTGGGAGGTGAGGGGGGTCTGAATTGTGGTCTGTTGTGCAAGAGTAGACCGGGGGCCAAACTTGAACAAAAAATAAATTGTGGGATTCCCATTGTTTTCCTATTCCTCGGCGCTGTTCGTCGCTTTTTTTTGTTTGTGCCTCGCGGGTTTTGTTAGCCGGTCCCCTCGGGGGTGTGGGATCTTCCGGACCCCCTGGGGGTTCTGGAGGCCTCCTGGAGGCCCGGAGAGCCGTCGGAAGGGTGTGTCAGACTGCTTGGGAGCGTATTGGGCTGTTCTTGCGTTCTGGGGGCCTCTTGGGGTCGTCTCGGGCTGTCCTTGGGCGTCTTCGGGACCCCCAAGGGGAAGCCGGGAGGCGCGGTACCGGCCAGATGTCAGGGGATGTGTGGGATCTTCGAGTAGGGGTGCCACTTATATATATATATATATATATAATATATATATATATTATTTATATTATTTATATATATACACATAGATATAGATATGTACATACATATGTATAGATGTATGTATAAATATACCTATATATAATAGAATTAAATAAGAACCTGGGCCATCCTTTTTTATATATAACAAAAAAACGACCTTCGAGGGGTGGCAGCGGCAAACAGTGACAAGGCGAAAAACATTACAAAACCATTGGGATTCAACGATTGTGCCTTCTTTGGGCTCTCTCGGGACGGCTCTCGCAACTCTCTTGGGCTGATCTTGGGGCCTCGTCGGGGTCTTCTTGAGGTCTTTCAAAGATCGGGGGTGTTTGGGGGCCTCTGGGTTGGTCCCGGAAGCCTCCCGGAGGTCTCTGGAAGCCTCCTGCTCTCTCCCGCTTTTGGGCCTGTTCTGGGGTGGTCTGGGGCTGTCCTGGGCGCCTCTTCGGTAGTCTTGGAGCCTTCTTGGCCCGTCTTGGGGCCGTCCTGAGGGTCTCATGGATGGTCTTGGGGCGGTTTTGCGCGGCTCTTCGGCGTTCTTGGAGCGTTGGAAACTCGACAACGCGAGAAGTCAAACACATGGAAAACGAAACCAATGAAAATCGACGATCTGGGCCTTTTCGGGCCGTCCCAGGACGCCTCTCGGACTTCTCTTGGGGTCTCTTAGAGGCCACCTGGGAGCCTCGAGAAGCGTCGGAAGGCTGACTTGGGCTGCTTGGGAGCGTCTTGGACCATCCTTTCGCATTCTAGGGGCTCCTGGGAAGCGTATTCGGCCCTCCTGGGGCGCTATGGAGGCCCCCTGGAAAGGCCGGGGGAGCGGCGCCGAGAGCGCCCCCGAGATGTGGCGGGGAGGTTTGGGACCCGGGGCCGGGGGGGCGGTATTTATTTACATTATACATGTTTGGGCCCCCTCTTTCTTGGCGTCGCGCCGCCAAAAATTTGGAAGTGCGAGGCTCAAGCACACTCGAGGACGCGGCCTCAGGGGGGCCTGGCAAGAGCAAGCACTCCGCGAGCACCCGCCCTTCCTCAGTCTCCAGACGCGGGCAGCGAGCTCCTCGCCCACTGCCTGCGCTGGCGCCGAGAAAGTCGAGACCACTCGCGGAATGCCGAGGGCCCCGCAAACACCAGGAACACGGGCTCACGCGTTGACCCTCCGGGGCCAATCCAGAGAGCCTGATCTAAAGGTGGCAGCCACAGGACGGATGGAAGGCCGCTTGAGCTGCGCACCTATGGAGCGAGACGGCGGCGCACAGCCCAAGAGGCCCAAACGCACCCCGACCCCTCAGGCGTTGCATCGCGCCGCAGGCTTGGAGGTGCGAGGCGCGAGCGCGCTGGAGGACGCGGCCTCAAGGGGGCCTGGCAAGAGCAAGCACTCCACGAGCACTCGCCTTTCCTCGGCCGCCAGACGCGGTTGCGAGCTCCTCGCCCACAGCCTGCGCTGGCGCCAGGAAGGTCGAGACAACTAGCGGAGTGCCGGGGGCCCCGCAGACGCCAAAAACTCCAAGATCATTCACGCTTCGCTTCCAGCGTAAGGCAGCTGTCTGAATTATTGTCTTAGAGCTCGGGGGCAGTGCGAGGGCAACTGCGTCGGCGACAGCCCGAAGAAAATGCATTCTGGCTGCCCTCGCGCCGCCCCGCCTGCCCTGCTGAAGGGGAGACTTCATATTCCCATGGCGAGTAAAATCGGCTGTTACCCCCCCCCTCGCCTGAAACTGCGCGCTGCGAAGCCTCGATGGTCTAAATCGAAAGTGCCGAGCACACAGGGGGAACTGCTTCCGATTTGCGCGCAAACCTGATTTGCCTCGCGGCTGAGGCAACGCTGCTTCCGACTTTTTCGAGTGACTCCGTCGCGCATGCTCGCGACTTCGAAGAAGCCTGTCCTGGCCCCCATTTTCGAGGACTCGATGTGGAAAACAACGCGATCGTCGTTGACTAGCACGCGTCGTCGCCGCAGCGCCAAAAGTTCGCCTGTTCGCATGAAAGTGTCGAAGCCGACGAGCAGCACCGCCGCCGAGCCTTCCCGGCCGAGGTCCCACGCGGCAGCTGCCCAGGCGAAGACGATCTCGGCGTTGAATGGGGTCGGCGGGGCGAGCACTGTCTCTATCATGTCCTGACCAAGCCCCAGCTCTGCTGCAGGCTGCATCTCAAAGAGGGCATCATCCAATGCAGCACAGCGGCTGCATTCACAACGGGATGCAGCGGCTCAAGCTCGGCCCAGCAGGCCTCAATGCACTCGCCGAGCTTGCCGTCAAGCTCTCGCAATGAAGACAATCGAACGCAATGAGCTCGCCGAAACAAAAGGACGCCTCTCGCGGCGAACAGATCGATCGCGAGTGGGCTTGGTGATCTGAAGATCTCGCAAGTATGCGCCGCTCTTGGCAGAACTGAGATCGCACATGCAACCAACTTCTGCGCTTGCCACCCTCGTGTCCCGCTTGGATTCGTACCGGCGCCATTCTTGGATCGAAATCCCGAGAGGGTCGGTCACCGGGGTTCAGCTTCGCATTGATGTGACCATTGCCAAAGTGCAGGTCTGAGATCACGAGGATGGCTGAATGCTGTCGCGCCAGCCCTCGAAGCTTCCCCGAGGATGTCCGACCTCGCGGCGAGATCGATGCTACCGCCTGAGAGTCGACCAGGTGCAGCACTGCAACGCCCTTGAATGATGGCGCGCGAATCCTGCGCCGCCGGGAGGCGTTCACCGCTTTCAACTCGAGAGCGTTGACGTGCAGGTCGCGGGCCGCCGCCGGCCAGGGGAATGGCAGCGTCGGTCGCCAGCGCTGCGAAGCTGGATTCATAAACGACCTGGGCAGGCCTTCGGCCGAAAGGGCGCGCCGATATCCGACACGATACCACTGCCAGTCTTCTCCGCCATCGTCCAGAATATCCGCGTTAACTCCTGGCCCAGCGGAGACTCTCGGATCGGGCCCTATGAAAACTCGACGGGCTCGCCCAGCAGATCCTTTACTTCGAGGCTCTGCGCGATGCCGCGGAGGTTCGCGCTGCCGACCAGCCACCCGGAAACACCCAGCCCACGGAGCAGCAGGCGAATGCGTTTTCGGGGTGGTAGCAGCGATCGGTCACGACGCTGTCGCGGCTGGAGCCCAAGCCGGCTACGGACGAGAACCCCATCAGGACCTCTCGCTCCGTGGCACGCAGCGGCCTCTCGCCCCCCCTGGAGCCCCTAATCACGCGCACGAGCTCATACTGAAAAGGACGATATGCGTGGCGATCCTGGGCCCCCCTCTGGATGGCCTCCGAACTCGCTGTAGCTAGACCAGTGGGATTATACTGGACCGTCTTCTCACGCCGTTGGAAAAACGTGCAGACGGGGCCCTCTGCCGATGCCCTGGAGCTCCCATAGGACACCCAAGACCCCATAGGAGCCAATGGGACCGTGACAGCCGTGATGTGATCATAGTTGGCCTGAGCCTCCCAAAGCACCCCTGGGAGCCTGAAGATCGCCTCCGTCCAAGAACACCAATGCAGACGAGGACGGCGGTTCTCTGTGAACAAAAAACTGCAGACGCTGACAGGCCGAACCTGGAGGACACGGGAAAACTCCAGGAGGGACTTTGCGCTCATGGAGAAAACGTTGCCCACTATCCAATGCACAAGTACATGCGTAGTTCGGCCAAGGACGCGCACCACGCGTGGGATCCGCGTGAACAGGCCGCTCCGAGCGCCATGCACGCCGTGCCCGTCAGCGTTCACGCCGCTGGCCTCCTGGCAAGGACCCCCTCCTGCAACGACCACGGCCGCAACTCGATCCTTGAACATGGTCAAGGCCTCCAGCTGCTCGTCGTGAATTGTTCAATGGGGCCGAGCTCGATCAGCCCAGCCAGCGACACCGTAGGACTCGCCAGGCTCCGTTGTCGACCTCGCTGCCCAGGTACCCGCCGATGGCGAAGCCAGCGCGGACCAGCGACACGGCCGCGCCCCATATCCCGTCGGAAATGCTGACCAACACGATGTGCGACTCGTCCTTCGCGGTCTTGGACTTGCGGTCCGGGGGCAGCTCGACGACGCACTCGCCCGAGTAGCCCGCGATACGGTGGCCCCACGTCTCAGGGTCACCCAGGCTCGCCAGGAAGTCGGAAACTCCTTCAGCCACTCCCACGGCCGTGCACATGCCAGCGCCGTCCTCGATCGCATCCAGAGCACGACGCGATGCCCGTCGTCACCTCCCTCAGTTTGGTGGGCGAGAGGGGCAGCAGCAGGCAGCCATGCATCAACTCGCCAAGGCTGTCTCTCGTCAGAAGCGTCCTCCCTGAGATGATCTGCTCCCAGATCGCGTTAACACCCCGAGGAGCGGCCTTCGGCACTCCAGCGACCGCACCCAGCGGCCCATGATAATCAAAAGCTAGTTCCCCAGAGGATGGTCACCGGTCAGGAGCCACATGGTGAGGCCATACAATTGGACGCTCTTCGCGCTGCTGTTGGCGGCCCTACCCGCGATCCCGTCCACCTCGACACACATGCGGGCGACCGGGACCTGCCTCTGCTTCGCCTTGGTCTTGCTGATGGGAATGGCGCTCTTCTCGCAGCTCTGCCTCATCTGTGTCTGCGTCCAGCCCGGTGCCCCTACGAGTAGGTGGAACCGCGTCCCGCCAGTCGAGCGCCTCACCGTTATCGAAGTCGTCGACGCAGGTACTCCACCAATCACGGGGGCCAGTACCAGCGAGCGGAGCAGCAACCACGGCGGGGATAGGTCGGTCCCGTCTCCACTCGCGTCCGGGAGGCAGATGAGCTCCACCCAGCTCCTCAAACAGCGCCACGCGCCGATGGGTACCCTGGAAGATGGGGACGCTGTACACCCAGTACATGGGCAAGACGGTCATGGCGAGCCAGACCTCCTTGGCAGCTATCCCCAGGACGTGGCCAGGCAGGGGCGTGCACACAGTCATGTAGCCCAACCAAGGAGCGGGCAGATGTCACATGAAAAAGGTGCCCTTCTGGTCATCTCCGCTCCAGAGAACGATCTCCTCAGGCCCCAGCGAGATGCCGATCCACGCAGACGATGGGACTAGCTTCTCGTCCAGGGAAGGACCCCGGACCCCATGCCGTTCCTCGGGACAAGCTTCTCGTCCAGGGAGGGACCCTGGGGGGGCGAAAACGACACAAGACATCTAGGACACACGCACATACATTCTCCATGACCCGATCAGGTCATGGTGAGAGGGAAGGGGGTTTTCAGGAGACATCCCTGGAGACACCGAGAGGCGCAGGAACAAGCCAGGCGACCAAACACCTCGATCCACGGACCTCGATCCTCAGACCTCGGTCTTTCACGATCTCGGCCCTTCACGACCTCGATCCTCATCGACCTCGATCCACAACGTCGGCCCCGCACGGCGACGCACGGTGCCCGGCCGCCGCAGCGCCCCTCCTCGACGCCCATGCCGGCATACTTGTACGACGCGTGCGGCTGGTACCAGGTGCCTGCACGGCCAGAGGAGGGCAAAGAGAACGGAACGGAGTGAACTAGAAGGAAGAGGAATAGAGGAGGAAGAGGAGGAGGAGGAGGAGGAGGAGGAGGAGGAGGAGGAGGACAAGAGGAGGAGGACAAGAGGAGGAGGAGGAGGAGGAGGAGGAGGAGGAGGAAGAGGAGGCGAAGGAGGAAGAGGAGGAGGACTAGGAGGAAGAGGAGGACGACGAGGACGAGAAGGAGGAGGAGGAGGAGGAGGAGGAGGGCGGACATCTGCACCGCGTCCACGGCCGCCAGAGTCCTGCCCCAGGCTGCCCCGGAGGACGGTGGATGCGGCCAGGAAAAAACTCCTGGGAGGTCCTCGTCAGAACGAATCGATCAAGGGCTGGTGAGCACGATTGCCTACCTGGCAGACCACCCCAACCCAACCCGAAGACCCGAATTTCGGGTTCGGGGGGTGCGAGCTTCATATGCGTTTTGTTCACCCCCCCCCACACTGGAAATGGAGGGCAACTCGGAGCCTCCGGACTGGTTTGGTGGGCGGTGAACGATTGCGGGGCCATGGAGCCAGATCAGGCCAGACGAAGCCTGGGATCAAGCCAGACCGGAGGGATCAGGCCAGACTGCGCGGGAGCAAGCAGGAGCAAGCGGGATGAAGCGAGATGGGCCCGTTCTCGACCAGTGCAGAAACCGCGCTCGGGCGCGAACGTTGACAAACATGGTGGGCTTTCAAGACCACTGGGGGCAGAACAAAAATCCAACGCAAACGCACTTTTGGAAAACCCACAGCGTGAGGCCCATTTACGTGTCCGTCGGACAGGACCCAAAAGCAATTGTTCGCACAAACCCCACGCAAGTGGGCCACCTTTTGGGCTGGCCAGTAAAACTTCTGGGTCGTCTTGGGAACAAGCCCGATAAATTTCTGTAGAAGCCCTCGGCGGTGAACTCACTTTCAAGACCGTCCACCGTCGGGATTCGAAATTTGATTCGGGACCCGACTCCCGATTCTGGCCCAGAGGGCGGGGCGCTGGGTTCACAGTGCCCGGCCTCTGCGGCCACACGGGGCGGGGCGCCAATCATGCCCCAGCCCCCGCCGCCCCTCCCCTCTCGCTCCCCGAGCGGCCCCCGCTGGTCATTTTCGATCTCGCAGCAGCCTTGGAGGCGACGAAATGTACCGTGGTAAAAATCGGAGGAATCCTCGGAGGGAGGATGAAGGAGGGAGGGCGAGGAGGAGGACGAGGAAGAGGAGGAGAAGGAGGAAAAGGATGAGAAGGAGGAGGAGGAAGAGGAGGAGGACGAGGAGGAGGAGGAGGAGGAGGAGGAGGAGGAGGAGGAGAAGGAGAGGGAAGAGGCGGGGGGAAAGGAGGATGAGGAGGAGGGAAGGGTGAAGGAGAAGGAGAAGGGGGAGGAAGAGGAGGAGGACGAGGACACTGGGAATGAGGAGGATGAGGAGGATGAAGAGGATGAGGAGGATGAGGATGAGGAGGATGAGGAGCAAGAGGAAGGAGAGGAGGAGGGAGGAGGAGGAGGAGGAGGAGGAGGAGGAGGAAGGAGGAGGAGGAGGAGGAGGAGGAGAAGGAGGAGGAGGAAGAGGAGGAGATGGAGTGGGAAGGAGGAGGATGAGAAGGAGTGTGAGGAGGAGGAGGAGGAGGAGGAGGAGGAGGAGGAGGAGGAGGAGGAGGGAAAGGAGGAGGTGGTGGAGGAGGAGGAGGAGGAGGAGGGAGAGGAGGAAGAAGACTGCTCAAGTGGTGACGGACCCCTCGGGGCCGAAACCGCCCCACCGCGAGCGCCGCCGCCCCGAGGGACCTAGGAGCCCACGCAGTCAGGGTCGGCGGGCCAGCGCTCCAGGGGGGGGGGGCGCCTGCATGCTCGTCTGGGCCACCTGGCCCCGGCTGGCCCCTCCCTGGGGTGGCGCGGGGGGCGCCGTGCAGGCCGGGCGAGCGCGGCGGCACTGCGTTCCCCCAGGGCCCTGACCTAGCACTGGACAACCCCCGCAGCACCCTACACTCGAGCGGCGCGCTGAAGCGGGACAGCCACCAGTCGGGCGCTGGCAGGACTGGGTTCATGGGAACCTGGTTTGATGATGTGTACCAGGGGGCGCCCCCCCCCAGCCCCATTCCGCTAACCGGAACTGCCGGCACCCGAAAAACACCGGTTACGGCAAACCTGGTTTCGTGAATCTGGCCAATTGAAGGGCCCCAGGGCCCTACCACTAACCGGGTCCCCTTACCCGGGGTCCTTGCTATACCCGAACCAGAGCGGTCGGGCGGGCTATGCGGGCTCGGCCTGCACAGGAACCCGCTGGCAACCCGCGGGTTCCAGCGCGGCCCAGGGGGGGGAGAGAGGGGGCCCGTCCTGGCGCAGTCTTGAGCCGTTTCGGGGCCCTCCTGGCAGCCTACTGAGGCATCTTGGGACGATCTTGAGGGCCTGTCTGGCCGTCTTGGACGCTTCGAAAACGAAAAGTACGGGAACTCCCGAAATGCACGTTTTCCATAGGGGTGGGAACGATTTTTCCTTGTTCGGGCTCACCTGGGGATCTCTCTGGAGCCCACTTGGAGCATTTTGGTGGCCTCGTGGGCCATCGGGCGACTGTCTTGGGCGTCTTCGAGCGCTCGGGGCCCGTCTCGGAGGCCCTCTTGGACGGTCTTCGGCTCTCTTCGGGCCCTCTTGGGGGCCTCCGGGGGCCCCGAGCGCCGGCCCGCAGAGGACCGAGCCGGGCCGAGGGGGGCCGATGCCACTAGGCCCTCTTTTCGCACGCGCTGATTCTGGTACTGCAGTACAGATGACGTCGGGCTCCAGCTTCGCCTCCCACGTCTCGATCAGCAGCGCAAGCGCTCGCTGCCAAAGCCCGCCCTTCTCGCACGCACGGGTCCCAGTATTGTCGTATAGATAAAGTCGGACACCAGCTTCGCCTCCCACATCTCGCACAGCAGTGCAAGCGCCAGCTGCCACTGCCCGTCCTTCTCACACGCGCTGATCCCAGCGCTTAAGCTGATGACCTCGGGATCCAGCTTCGCCTCCCACAACTCGCTCAGCCGTGCCAGCGCTGGCTGCCACTGCCCGACCTTCTCGCACGCGCTGACCCCAGTGTTGTAGCTGACTAGGGCTGACCCGTGTACTTACGTCCACGACAGCTTGCCCGCGTGCAGAAGCTGATGTCGCTTGCCTGTTTGCCGGATGTTTCTGTGCGCATCGCTGGTAGCCAGACAGTTGTCTTCCCGACGTCACTGCCAGCATGCTGACAGCTTCAGGCCTGGCGGTCGCAACTGACCCTCTGCCGCACGCCACGGCAGCGGGGATGGCCGCCAGCCGGCCGCGGGCAATGCGGCGGCTGCTTGTTTTCCCCTGCTAGCTACTAGTTGCTGCCGCTGCTGGCTTGTGTGCTGCCGGATATGGAGGCCGTGCTGGGGGGCCCTGCGGCCGAAACTATTGGGGGCCTCGTTGGGCCCTCTTGGGGCCGTCCTGGGCCGTCGCGGGGTTCTCTGGGGGTCTGTTGGGCCGTCGTGGCGATCTCTGGACGGCGTGTCCGGCCGTCTGGAAGCTCTCCGAAGCCTTCCGTAATACTCTGAGAGCCCTCTGGGGCTGCCCTTGGGCTCTCTTGAGGCAGTCAAAGACCGCCCAGAGGGCCCTAAGACGGGCCGAAGACGGACCGAGACGGCCCAAGGATGCCCCCCGAAACAACCTAGGAGGCTGAATGGGGGCCCCCAGAGGGCCCAAGGTGGCCTGCAAGGAGCCCAAGAGTCTTCCCCGAAGCCGTCTTTGAGCTGTCTCGCGTCGAAAAGCCTGCGAAGCAAACGACATTCATCTTCCTTTGGGTGTTGGAAAGCTTTGCAATTGCCGTTGTCTTCTGGACAATTCCTGCAAAGGCTCTTGGGGCGTCTAGGGGCCTTTTAGAGGCCTCTTCTAACCTCTTGAGATCTCTCAGGGGCACTGTCTGGCGGCTGTCGGGGCCAAATTCTGGTCATCTCGGACATTACCGAAAGCTGTCTCTGCGACATCTTGGGGGCCCAGAGCCCACAGGGACCCGGAGGCAGTGCCGACGCCGCTGGAGGCCGAGAAAGCCATTGGCCCACGCACTTGTCCAATTGAGGGGGTGATGGTAGCTTCGGGCTCCAATTTCAGAGTTTTTGACGTTGCGGAGCCTCGGGTTGAAGAGCTTACTGAGTCACCGTTCGCACTTGGGAGCCTTGGCTTGAAAAGCTTTTTACTGTCCGTTCTGTGGCCGTTTTGGGACGTCTTGGGGCCCGCTTGGGCCGTCACGGGGCGCCTTGGAGGCCTTGGACAGTCTTGGGGCTCTCTGGAAGGCTTCCTGGGGCCCTCTTGGGAACCTCATCGGGCCCTCTTGGGGCCCTCTTGGAGCCGTCTTGGGGCCCCCTCAGGCCATTTCAGGGCCCCCTTGGGCCGTGTTTGGGCCCTCTTGGACCGTCTTGGGACCCTCATGGAAGCCGCTTGGGTCGTCTGGGGGGGTTTTGGGTGGCCTCTTGGCCTATCCTGGACCATGTAACAACGAAACCGGCGGATATGCTGAAAATGTGCGTTGCCCCACAGGAATGTGATCAGTTGTGCCTCTGTGGCGTCCTCTCGGGGCCCTCTCGGAGCGTCTTTGGGGCCCCTTGGACAGTCTTGGAGCCACCTTCTGAGGTCTTTGGAGCGTCTTGCAGGTCTTGGACCGTCTTGGGGCTCTCTAGAGGGCTTCCTGGGGCCCTCCTGGGAGTCTCGTCGGGCCCTCTTCGGGCCTTCTTGGGGCTGCCTTGGGGTCCTTTCAGGCCGTTTGAGGGCCCTCTTGGGCCGTCTTTCCGTCCTCTTGCACCGTCTTGGGGCCCTCTTGGGGGCCGCTCGGGTTGTCTTGGGGGTTTTTGGGAGGCCTCTTGGTCTGTCCTGGACCGTGTAACAACGCAACAGGCGGACATGCTGAACATGCAAGTTTTCCCATCGGGATGTGACCATTGTTGCCTCTTTGGCGTCCTCTCGGGGCCCTCTCGGAGCGTCTTTGGGGCCCCTTGGACTGTCTTGGAGCCACCTTCTGAGGTCTTTGGGGCGTCTTGCGTCGGGCCCTGTTGGGGCCCTCTTGGAGCCGTCGTGGGGCCCCCTCAAGCCGTTTCAGGGCCCCCTTGGGCCGTGTTTGGGCCATCTTGGACCGTCTTGGGGCCCTCTTGGGGGCCGCTTGGGTCGTCTTGGGGGAATTGGGGAGGCCTTTGGTCAACGCAAAAAGCGGATATGCTGAACATGTACGTTTTCCCATCGGAATGTGAACATGTTTGCCTCTTTGGCGTCCTCTCGGGGCCCTCTCGGAACGTCTATGGGACCTCTTGGACGGTCTTGCAGCCACCTTCGGTCTTTGGAGCGTCAAGGCCCGTCTCGGCACCAACTGAGGCCGTCTTGGAGCGCTCTTGGACCGTCTTGAAACCCCTCTGGGGCGTCTCTTGCGCCGTCGAAGGCGATTCGACCCCGTGGTGGGGCGGTGGAGGGCTGATTTCATGCACTTGAGTGCCCACCCTTCTGCTATGCGCTTCCGCCCGCCATGTAGGAGAGATGACGTTGGGCTCGAGCTTCGCCTCCCACATCTCACATCTCGCTCAGCAGTGCCAGCGCCAGCTGCCACTGCCCGCCCTTCTCGCACGCGCTGACCCCAGCGTTGTAGCTGACTAGGGCGAACTCGTGGACTTCCTCCACGTCATCTTGTGCAAGTCTTGGCTCGAAACGGCCGTCTTGGGCCTGTCTTCGCTCGAAATGGCGAGAAGGTGGAAATCTTTCAGAAACCATAGATACATCAATTATTTCGTTTGCCGCGGCTCGTCTGGAGCGTCTTCGAGCGGTCTTAGGCCGTCTCGGAGGCCCTCTTGGACCGCTTCCTTCTCTTCGTCCGCCTTCCGCTCTACCTCCGCCTAGACAGCCTTCGGAGCGTCACAGACGGCTATGGTGGGTCTGCGGTGTACGTCTCGCCGCTTGTCAATTTGGAAAGGACCTGGGGCCTTGAAAAAAGTCAACGGGAGGGCTCTGGAGACTTTTTTCTGGTTGCCTCTTGGAAGCCTGATGGCGGGCGCTGCCGTCTCCTTGGGAACGGTTAGTGGGCCTCTCGGGGTTTCTTTTCGAGCTCCTGGGGGCCTGTTGGGGCCTCGTTGGCTGCCTTGCGGCCTCCTAAGGGCCTCTTGGGGCCTTCTTGAGCCGTCTTGCAGCCTCCTGGGGGCATGTTCTCTTGAAGTCTTTTTGGGCGCCTCTGGGGCCGTTCCCGGGCTGTCCCCACGAGCCTCTTCCGGGGGACAGCCCAGGAAATCTATTGTGCGTGCGTGCGTGCTGTGCGTGCTTCGGAAGGCTGTCCCGACGTCACCGCTCGCTCTTGGGAGCTGTGCCTGGGAGAGCTCTCCCCGCTGCGTCTCGCTCTTGGGAGCCTTGGTGAGAAGAGCTGTGTACTTCACCGATCGCTCTTTTAGCGGGCGTCTCTGGGCCTGCTTAGTGGTCCTTGTGGGGGTCTTTTTCGGGCCATTCTGATGCTTTTTTGGGCTGCTCTGGGAGCGTTTCGGGACGTTTTCTGAATTTGTTGGCCGTCAGGGGGCGTCCGGGAGGCCTTGGACTGTCTTGGAGCTCTCTTGAGGCTGCCTGAGGCCGTCTTGGGAGCCTCTTGGGGCCACCTCGGAGCTCTCTTGGGGCCGTCTTGGGGTTCTGTGAGGCCGTTTCAGGGCTCTCTGGCGTCGTCTTGGGGCTCTTGTGGGCCGTCTTGGAGCCCTCTGAGGGGCGGCTGGCGTCTTCTTGGGCCGATTGGGGAGGCCTCTTGGCGTGTCCTGGGCCGCTGAGGAGCACACAAGGCGGGCATGCTGAAAATATACGTTTCCCCATGGGAATTTGACGATTTGTGCATCTTTGGCGTGCGCTCGGGGCCCTCTTGGGGGCGTCTTTGCAGCCTCTTGGATCGTCGTGGAGCCCCCCCCCAGAAGGCTTCGGGCCCTCGTGGGCCGTCTCGGGACCCACTGGGGCCGTCTTGGAGCGCTCTTGGACGGTCTGGGACCCCTCTGGAGCGCCTCTGGGACCGGCCTGAGCGACTCGGCCCCGTGGTGGCGCCGAGGGACCCTGTGAACCCTTCTCGCACGCAAATCCACTGGCCATGTAGGAGAGATGACGTTGGGCTCCAGCTTCGCCTCCCACATCTCGCTTAGCAGCGCAAGCGCCGGCTGCCACTGCCCGCCCTTCTCGCACGCGCTGATCCCAGCGCTGTAGCTGACTAGGGCAGACCTGTGGACTCCGTCCACGACATCAGCTCGACGTGGCGAGGGGTCTCTGGGCAAGCGCGGGGGGGTGCGGCTGCAGGGCCGAAAGGCAATCAGCTGCTGCTGCTGCTCGGAGGTCCTGCTGCTTCCTCCCCCTCCTCCTCCTCCTCCTCCTCCTCCTCCTCCTCCTCCTCCTCTTCCACCTGCTTCTCCTCTTTCGCTGGATTCTCCATGCCCTCGGTCGGCAATCGTCGATCCTACGACGACTCTCCCCAACAGAGAAACATCGAAGGCCCTCGGAGCGTCCAACATTGTTCTTTTGTGCCTTCGATATGCCGGTCGCCTCTCGTCCGCTCCCCCCCTCCTGGAAGCAATTCTGAGGCCACTTAGGGCTTCGTGGGGGCCGTTTGGGGATCTCTTGGGGCGTTTTTGCCTGCGATATGCCTGTCGCCTCTCGTCCGCTCCCCCGCTCCTGGAGGGAATTCTGAAGCCACTGAAGGCTTCGTGGGGGCCGTTTCGGAGCCTCTTCGGCCTTCTTTTGGGCCTCCCGGGGGGGCTCTTAGGGCCCTCTCGGGCCGTCTTGGGTGCCTCTTGGGCCGTCTTGGGGCCGTCTGAGGCCCGCCTCGGCGCCTCTTGGGCTGTCTTGGGCCGTCTTGGGCCGCTCCTGGGGCCGTCTTGGGTGCCTCTTGGGCCGTCTGGGGCGCCTCCTG